TCACATATTCACACTAAAAATGTAAAAATTCTCGGGGAGGGTCAAAAATCACGTGCTTACAGCGCTTTAGTACCTTAATGGAGTGGGAAGGGTAGATATGGATATGATGACCATGCGATAACATCTCGTGTAGCCCTCATTGAGGAGTGATTACCAAATGTTGTGTGGGGTGATCCATATTATTTATAAACCTAGGACCCCCATTTCCTTGACTTGTTTATTTCATTGTTTGCTTTCAAACTATTTTCTCAAAATTCAACTTTTCTTTTGTTTTCTTTTAATTTCACCTATTTGTAACCCTTATGTGCAAATCCCCTCTTATTTGAAGTCTTACTCGCCTTCATGTTATTTGTACTTAAAGTCACAACCGTAGTCTGTTCGGGAACCACATTAGTGGATCCTGAGGGGTGCTTAACACCTTCCCCTCGGGATAATTTCAAGCCCTTACCCAATCTCTAGTTTCCTAAATCAAATTCTTCCTAGTGTCCTAATGCACTCAAATCATTAGGTGACGACTCTTCAATCCAAACCCAATTCCCAAAAGGGAACGAGTTGTCCTCCCAAATGTCATGAATCTGCTTCCGCGAGGAAAAAGGAGGCGCGACACTTACATATTCATAACAATTGATATACACATGTTATATAGTTTTTATTTAGAAATATTGTAGAAAAATTGTAGAACAAATGAAATTCAATACTTATTTTGATATACACATGTTATGTAGTTGTTTTGTCGAAATATTGCAGAAAAATTGTAGAACACAAGAGATATAAATAAATTTCACCACTGGTATAACAAATCAAACCTGCAATTGCGTTCGAAATAGACATACTGCATTCTAAATCAAAATCCCGCACTGTTATACATAGCGGATACATTCCTAAGCTCTTGTTTTCCTTTTTCGTCTCCATGTATACTAGAACTCCCATATCGTCCCTAATTTTCATTGGCGGATAATTTTCGATGACAATGTATTTGATTTCGATTATTTTTCTGATGTATCGATCATTTGATGCTCTGCGATTGTAGAAATCAATTGGCTATAAGTTGCATCTTCGCTGATTACAATCCCATCGATATAAAAATTCATGTATCTCCCAAAACTATCCCAATTACCATTTAGCTGAAGCATAATAGCTATTTTCGACATTATTGCGCATGATTCAGTATAATTGTAGATAATTGATTCGATTTTGCTTGTGAAACCAGAATATACAGTGAAAAATAGAGTATCGAAATTGTGAGAGAAACAGAATAATTTCAGGCCTAATTAATGGCGACTAATGCGTTTCAAATAATCTCGGTAGAATCCTTTACTATCCCAAATTCTCGCTCCTAAAAAAGGAATGTTACAATAGAAAGGATTCATTTTTAAATGAATTGTATAGATTATGTAGGAAAAATGTGTCCAAGTTGGGTTATATTATAAACAAGGACATTTTTTGTAATAAAGTTTCATATAGGAATGAAATTCTCCCATCAAAATATCCCAGATCTCAATTTTGGGCCATATCAGCCTAACTTCACCGGGCTAATTCAGTTTCTATTACCCAAACAAATGAATAAAGCATGAGCTTTAAGGATTTGACATTGCATAACAATTTAGTCCAATAATTGGCAGAAAATAGCCTATCTTTTAGTATTTGGCACACGTAACCTAAATTTAACATTTAATGATCTTCTCTCTCTTCTAATGGTCCAACCATTACCCTAAAAATAGGCTTTTATTTTCTTTTTGTTAGAATTCGAAAATCTTTCAAGATTTTTTCCCAAATCTATACAATCTTTTTTCTAGGTTTTTAAATTATTTCTCACAAGCATTAAAAATTATAAATATAGTTTGTATATCATAGTGTATATCCAAGTGTATAACACAAATAAATTTTATTTTTTATATATCAGA